GCGAAATTTTGCTAAACAGTGCAGCACTCTAAGTTAAAACCACCCTTCATTAAACATACAAAAAAGCTAATGAAAAAAAAATCGCAACGAAGCTATTATATTCAAGATTTTGTTTGCAAGGATTTTATTCGTCTCACGATTGATTTCAGTTTGATAACCATTGAAAACCAGGGAGTACTGGACAGCTGTTCCGCCCTACTTTGGGACCCTTCAACAGTACATACTTAATAACTTTGCCGGGAGTCGAGTCCAGGATCTTCCAGTTACCGGTTGGCCGGCTTGTTGACCATTCAGCCGCTTGAGCCTTACTCGCAATTTTGGCGCAACCACCAACCAGTATGTCATCGACAAGTGTTTGTTCTCAAACCCATCCCGGTGGACTCCACTGATCACGACTTCTCACCAGAACTCCAGGCGAATTCGTCCTGCAGCCAATCACTGGGGAGCATCAGTTAGCAGAGATTCGATTTGTCCGAAGTTTGACCATGAATTGATGTCAGTTAGAGAACCAGAGAGGAGTTAGGATTCATCAGACATTGGATTACGGCTCAAGCGGCTGGTAACCTGATAATCCTGGGCTTAAGTCCCGGTGGGGTCGTGGGTGCCTACTGATGAACAAACCCAAACATGGACGAAACAGCTGTCCAATACCCCCCTGGTTTTCAATATTTCTCAAACTGAAATCAATACGTGATCAAACTTGAAACTGCAATATGCCGAAACATATGGAAGAAAAACTAGTTACTAGGAGACTGAGGAGGCGGATATGAAGGACCTAAGAAATGTCAGAGTACATTGAATCCACACGATCAAAGAGAATTCCAGCATCTCAGAGACCTTAACCGGGCAGTCCACAATAACCTACGCGGCTGAAATCAACAGCCAAAGACATCAAGGATTGATTGATGCCAGGTTTTGATCTCACTACTCCCGGCTCTTTTCCAACCTAATCCTATATCAGTTAACACTGCTAGACGAGGAAGGCCGGAGGGTGCTACCTTTAATTTCGGCCAGTGGCTATTGTTATTTCTTGAATAGGAAGCACAAATGACAGAAACCTGACAATGAATTCAGCATTAGTCATCAGGCTTCCTAGATTCGTGATGACGTAACATGGACGTATGACTCAACAATTGGGTCCAGGGTTCGAGTCCCGTCTCACTTACTTCATCTTCAGCAAATAGGTAGTACCCTAAGCACACAGAGAATAAGTGTGACTTATTGTCTAGTACATCAAAAAAAAGCTGTTCTAGGAAATAGGTTCTAACTAACTATTATTTCCAACCATTGCGTAATTGGTGTTTCATTCACAACTTTTCTATAGAAGAAGAGAAAGGTTCAGCGTACATGATCTTAGACTCCATATGAATATCTCCAGTAAAACATAGGATCAAATTTGAGATCAACATTTTATATAATCAGAGGTAACCGCCTTCGTAGCTTCACTAACGCTATGTTAAACAACTCCATAGATTTTAAAGTGAACACTATTTAAAGCGTGTTACTCAAAATCGTGAGTATAAGATATACACAGTGGTCATTTAAAATGACAGAGACTCCTGAAGTCCTCCATGGATGTTCACCTTGAACCTTATTGCAGGGATGTTAGTGAACTCTGTCTCATTCATCAGAAACAATCATATATTTACTAGGGCACCAAAAGGCGGAAACTTGCATTTAAAATTTTACATGTATCTATCTCTCAACCTTCTCAAATACAAGCTGAAATCATAAGAATTATCTCAGCCCAATTCTACACTTGAAGCCTACAAATTTCTAATGTGTCAACTAATTTTGAAGCTTTAAATGCCCCCCAACCCCTGCCAAAAGAAATCCAACTCGCAACATACAAAAGGTTGAAACACTTCAATGAGAATCGGATGAAACAAACAAAAAAGTGTGATATCATCAATCAACGATGAACTGTTCACCAGAGAACCTTGAAAGTTACTGAATTGTTACACACTTATACTTAGTAATCTAGAGTCAAAACCTATAAATAACCAGCGTACATGATCTTAGACTCAATAGCAATATCTCCAGTACAACAGAGGATCAAATTTGAGATCAACATTTTATATAATCAGAAGTAACCGCCTTCTTAGCTTCACTAACGCTACGTTAAACAACTCCACAAACCCGAGATCACCCAATGATAGATTTTGAAGTGAACACCTAAAAAAATGTACTATTTAAAGCGTTTTATTCAAAATCATGAAGAACCTAGAAGACCTGGATTTCGCACGTGGATGATTTATGTTTGATGTCACACAAAATCGAAGACTTACAAACGAAAACCGACAAACTGGTCGAAGAAGCAGCTGGCGAAGACAAGACTGCAGGTGAACATAGACAAGACGGAGGTTATTAAAATGACCAACCAACAACAACAACAGCAGCAGCAGCATCCAGCGACAATCACCATCAACGGGAGGGATTTGAAAGAGGTTACTTCATGCACTTATCTAGGGAGCATTGTCTCAACCACAGGAGGAACGGACGAGGATGTCAAATCGAGAATCAGGAAGGCGAGAAGCACATTCATCAACCTGAAACCAATCTGGTCTGGAAATCTTCGTCACTCCTCGGCATCAACAACAAAATTCGGATTTTCAATACAAACGTCAAGTCAGTCACTTCTTCTATACGGATCAGAAACTTGGCCAGTGTGTCACAAAGAATATTTCCAACAGCCTGTTGCAAACCTTTATCAACAACTGTCTTCGCTCTATACTACTCAAGATCAGATGGCCGAAAAGAATCACCAACAAGAAACTATGGGAACAAACAAAGCAAGAACCAATCGCCCAACTAATATGCAGGAGAAAGTGGAGATGGATTGGACACTCGCTGAAGAGGCCGCTGAGTGACATCGCGCGTCAGGCCATCGCTCGAGTGGAACCCGAACGAGAAGCGGCGAGTGGGATGTCCAAAGGTGATATGGAAGAGATCGTGTGAAGAAGAGTTGAAACAGTATGGACTAACATGGATGCAGGTGAAAAGTACAGCAGAAGACAGAAGCAAGTGGAGGCGTGCAGTTGAAGCCCTATGTTCCACTAGGATTACAAGGGAACAATAATAATAATAATACTCAAAATCGTGGGTATAAGAGATACATATAGTTGTCATCTAAAATGACACAGACTCCTGAAGTCCCCCATGGATGTTCACCTTGACCCTTATTTAACCTGATTGCAGGGATGCTAGTGAACTCTGTCTCATCCATCTGAATCAATCATATATTTGCTGGGGCACCAACGTGCCGAAACTTGCATATGAATTTCACATCTATCTATCTCTCAAACTTCTCAAATGTATCAACTAATTTTGAAGCTTTAAGTGACCCCCAAAAGAAATCCAACCCGCAACATAAAAAAGTTGAAACACTTCAGTGAGAATCAGATGAAACAAACAAAAACGCATGACATCATCAATCTACGATGAAGTGTTCACCAGAGAACCTTGATAGTTACTGAATTGTTATACACTTATACTTAGGAATCTAGAGTCAAAACCTATATATAAAACCATACTAAAAATTCAATCCAAAATCAAAGCCTAGCCTAAGACACACACACACGCACTGTCTGTCTGTTTTCGACATAGAACTTGGCACCGATGTGCGGCAGTTCAGGTCGCCACACTCCATGTAGCACACAAAACAAGAGAACAAAGTAGGAGAAATGCATATTAGAGACAGTAAACAGAGGTCTGAGACAAAGGAATAGTAATAACGAAGAAAAAAACAGTTTCATTGGAAATCATAATTGACAACGAGTGGATGCATCTGCACCAAACATTGAGAACGATTTTGAGCCATGTCACCAATTGTTTCCAACCATTGCTTTTCACCGTCCCGAGGACCCCAACAAGACAGGAAGTCTACACCTTCCCACGTGGCTTAGACTAACTGTTGTGGATTTCATTGACTGGTGCCATGTTTTGGTTTGACCGCCGCTAGCTCTTTTCCAGCCTGACCCTATATCAGCTAACATTGCCCGTTGAGGAAGGCGATGACTAAGCTTACGTAACACATGTCCTAACCATCTCAGTCGAAGTAATTTCACCGTTTCGTCGATTGATTTCCCCGCCTTACCTAGCACTCGACCGATGTCTAACCTCAATATTGCTCACCTTATTATACCACTTCACGCGGGAGATTAGAACGCAGACACCTATGATCGAACACAGCTAATCTTTTCATGTTTTCCACTCTTAATGGCCAGGTCTCACAGCCAGCCATAGAGGAGGACGGAGCGGACTGCTGAGCAGTACACACGCCCTTTGGTCGATAGCCAGCCGGATATCACGTCTACTAAGCCAGAGACGGCGTAAACTGGCATATGCGGAACTAGCCCTCTGTATCCACCATGCTGAGATTTCGTTAGAGATCAACCCGTTGGCACTGGCTGACGGTACTTCCCAAGTAAGTGAAGCGGTTAACGTGCTCTACCACTTCACTTCCTATTTCTAATCTAGGAGTCGGTGTAGTCCAACGCACAATCTATATCATTGTACAAGTCCGCGGTTGGATTTCAGAGAAATCAAATCATCTCATAACACAAAAAGGTGAGTACAATACTTTCCATTCAATAATTTTATTCATCCAAAATAGTAATAATAGTAATAATAATAGTAGTAAATAGTAACAATAAATGAACTAACATACAAGACAATAATTTAAAAAAAACAGCCATTCTCCTGCAGATGAAATCACAACAGAATACCAATTTGTTTCAATATAGCTCATCATACAGTATAACTAACACACATCGAACAGAAATAAGGAAGATAAAGACAGGAAGGCAGAAAAGAAAAAGACGGGAAAAACATAACTTCACAGATGACAACAATACTAATGATAATGATAATAATTGCAGTAACAGTCCACAAGTGGTCTCAAGTATCTCAGAAGTAACAAAACGATCAATGAAAGAGTGTGAAAGACGAATTTTGCCATACACACACACACAATCGAAACACAAACATTAATAGAAGTAATAATAATAATAATAGTAATAATACGTGCATGAACTGAACAACTTAGAACAAAAAAGATAATAATAATAATAATAATAACACCCTTTACACTTTGTGCACATTGTCTTTGCTGTTGTTGCTGCTGCTGTTCGTAGCAGTGGTAAGAGGAAGAGGAGGAGATAAAAAGATGATTAGTAGGAACAAACAGTGTGGGGAAAACCACCAGCTAGAGAAAGTGTGTGTTTTGGTGGGTTTAGAAAAAGAAAGCCAATAAACAGAGAAACAAACAGAAAACACCTGAAGAACAACAGAAGTAGTAGTAATAATAATAATAATAATGATATTCTATGTACAAATGTTGCTCACAGTATGCCAATGAACAACTGGAGGCGCAGAGTATCCATTCACAAGTGGGAGAGACAGCGAGAGTGACTGACTGACTAAACCAAGATACTCTCTTCTGTGCTACAACAAACACACACACACACAAATACACGCACATCATTCTATTACTCACAGTTTAGTGCGTAGTAACAAGAAGTCGAATGATCAGGAGTCTCTAGTTTCTTTGAAAATTCGAAATCACTAAGGGGTGGGGGCGGGGGGGTTATATCTTCTCTATACAGAAATTTATATCTAAATTAATAGTAGTAGTAGTAGGTGTTGTTGTTGTTGTCGTCGTAATAGTAACAATAATACAAAAATAATTCAAAAAAAAAACAAACAAAAACAAAATGGTAGAAAAAGGAAATCTTCAATTTATGCAGCGATAAATAAGTAAGCAAGTTTATGTTTATCCTTTCATACACATGTACATGAGACAATAGTGTTGACAATTACCATCACAAAATAATAATAGTAACACAGCACAAAAGCTGACTGAATTCACAAGTGTGTGCGTATATGTGCGTGTGTGTTGTATTGATTTTTTTAGAAAGACTATCATTTTATAAACAGGAAGATATTCCTCCCATTCACTTCTTGCGAGGATAAAAAATAATAATAATAAGACGAAGAGAAGAATCATCCTTCCTTCCATTTTATTTTAAAGCGTGTCATTTTATTTGTTCCACGCCTTACATCACTGGAAGTATCACCATTTGTGGGAGGTGCCGCTGTTGCTGCTGATAATAGTGATGATGACGATGATATACTGTGATTGTTAGCTGATGAACTGAACGAAGATAAATTATTATTTGAAAGATTATTAGAGGGGACTGTAAAATGACTATTTGTAGTAGAAGTAGTAGTATACGATGCTGGCATACCAACATTACGATTATCGGATGAGGCTATGGGTAAAGACAGGGCAGCATTCAACCGACTGCCTAATTTAGGCGGAGAATTCATCATTCGAAGAGTTCTACTGTCGGAATCTGTTGCCGATGATGCACGTAGATGGGAATTATGCAAAAAGCCAGTAGCTGGTTGCTGCTGCTGAACAGGACTGGTGAAATTTGAATTGGGTGTAGGGAACCGTGTATACGAAGAATTAGGCATAAAATTAGGTCGATTGTGATCTAGAGACTGATTCATCCCAGTTGTCAGAGTTTCACGCAGTGTACCACCACCAACACCACCACCCCATTGTCGTTGATCAGTGCCATATGAATAGGGAGACGTACCACGTCCAAGGATAGAACTGCCGCGTTGATTAAACATTGAAGCTGAACGATTACCCCACATTCTAGGACGTTGAGGTAATCGTGAACAAGGTCTTTGACCTCTGGGCCAAGGAACACAAGCATTATCAGATGAAGCAAGAAAATTATTATTATTATTTCGTAGACTAGATGAATTTTGATTGCGAGGAAATATTGACTTGGTTGAAGAGTTATCCTCAGGCAATTGTGTTTGTCCTGCTTCCGGTGGTAATGATAAACACGCTAACACATCTTGTACACATTCTTGTGGAATAAGTGAACCAATAATACGCTTTCCATCTTTTGATTTCAGACGTACAACTTGCATACAACGATTAGAATTTGAACGATATTGAAGTACTGGTTCAATTCTTGCCCAAACATTTAATACTGATCCACTAAGAACATAATAATTACGCATTCGTAGACCAACTTCACAAGCTGTTCGATTTTGAACACTTGTTGAACAAAATCCATGAAGTAACATATGAATACAACGCTTTGCACTTTCTCTAAATATTCGACTCCAAGGTTCTTGACAATCAGATGGATTAGATACACGCTTATAGCGTTCTTGTAATTTCTCTAGTTCAATTGGTTTAGCCTGTAATCCAGTATTTGGACGATATATACGATATAATTTCGACTCAGATGAACTTGTTGCTCGTGAGGTACGAGATTTCACATAGACAGCAAGAATAGGGATAACAAGCTTGTTACTAGTAGGCGTTGAAGGTAAATAAAAACCATCGTTTATACCATCATGCTGAGTGTATATCTCCATAGCACTTGACCAAGTTAAACCACGTTCAGCTGTCACTTTATGTAAATGAACCTGAGTAGATTCGGATAGAAACCAGGTATCGAAACTTTTCGTCCATGCTATATCTAAATTTTGTCCAGTTGTACCTAAATCCATAATGCCTAAATCCAATTGATTATCACGTTTAGCACGTCTGGTAATCTCTTCCAGTGTATCGGAGAAATATTGGAACAAAGCATTTTGAATATTAACGCGTATGCCGAGTATACGATTGAGGAACTTTGACATTTGATTACTGTCCTTCTCACGATATCTACCGGTGGCTAAACCGACACCTTGTAAACTGGCTCTAACATCCTGGAAAAATGACTGTGCGTCTAGTTTTTCTCGATCACCAGAAGAGTCAAAAGGTGAACTAGGCATATAGTCATTTGGCGGTTCAACTAATCCTTCCTCTCCCAAAATACACGCTCGTAATACTACTTCCAAAGCTTCCCGACCGAGCTTAGTATCTAAGTTGAACTGTGATAAATCACGCGTTTCTGTAGCTCTTCTATCACCATGCGTCAAAGCACCAAGTGACTCCAGACGTTTAGCAACTGTTGATGCAAAGCGCTGTTCACCAGCCAAATTGGATATCAGGAAGATATACTTAGGCGCACTGACTTGATTGGAACGATGCGTACGACCAAACTGCTGAACAGCACGATCTGCACTCCATGGAAGTTCCAAGGTGATGTGAACACGTCGACGTTGATTAATCGCTCGTCGATCAGCCTGAAGAGAAATACCACTACTGGCAGCCTCAGATATAATAGCGATTAATTTTTCACCATCCATGAAACGTTGTTTCTCTGTTAGATTAAGTAATTCCAAATTGACATCACTCTCCCGACGAGATTCATACGATACACGACCATCATCGCCCATAACCATTCGACCTTTCCTACCGGTCATTTCAGCAACTTTTGACGGTCCACCCAACTTATCAATCAATTCATCCAGAGAACTTGGAGGCAATTTAGCACCCAATTTTTCAATGAAACGCAACAGGAGATTTTGCATTTCAGTACACTGTCGTTTAGCCTCCTCTGGTGAGACTTTTGTTTCACTACTACTGACAGCCAATGACTGGTTTGAACCTCGTCCCATAAGATACTGTTGTGATAGCTTGCGTGTGAATTCATCACCCCATATATCATCAGTGACGTGTTTACTATTTCCATCAGATCGTTTACTTAGGCTACTATGCTCTGAACCTGAATTGCATAAATTCATATTCCGAGCTAAAAAACTGTCGAACAATGCATCAGGATCCCAATCTTCATCGGAATCATCAGATAAACCACTCGGTGAATCACCATCACGTGTATACTTTTGTTTACGTCTATCAGATGACTGACTTTGTTTTTTACTTGAATTAGATTTTTTCGATCGTTTTTTCTTAGAAGTTTCCTGGGATGAATTCAACTCTAAATCGGAATCATAGTAATCTGACGAAGATGAATTCCCCCCGAGTGGATTAACACCATTGACTTTTACAGCATTATTGAAATCCGAGTCTTCATCATCTTCTGATTCTTCAGAATGCTCATCATCATCACCATCAATATCATCAGAATCGGATCCTTTATCTTCAGGCTTGTTGCCTTCAAAATCACTATCAAGATTCGATCCAGATAAACTGCCACCGGCGACCAACTTGGCAAGCATTTTTTCGCCAAGAATATCTTTCAGTCCAAGTCCACTGCCTTGACCAGCTGCAATTGCACGTCCTGCTCTGCTGAGTGTGGTATTCGAGCTACGATCACCTGCAGAGGCTAATTTATCTCCTCGAAGAGAGAAATTATCTACATTTGTTGGTGTTGGGAAATACTTTTCAACTAATGATTGAAATACACCCCTGAAAGAATAAGAAGGAGAGAACAGTACTTAAGAACACGCGAAAACACGGATATAAATAGAGATTGAATTATAAAAGCAAAATGAAATTCAGCGGGGGGGGGGAACATTAGATTTAATGATTTACTTTGATTTTGACAATTGTTTTTTTCGCCAGGTGTATACAGCAGCAACTCTGACAGGCAAACTTACGGATGAACAGTGAAGTAGAACCATCGCGAATATAGATAGTAACTTTTATGAAGCTCATACAAAAGAGGTACTTCTAAACCTCTCCTAGTCGGTATTATTGAAGCCCGAAAAATTGGGAAGGTTGGCCATGAGACGAACAATCCCACCTAGAAAAGACAGCGTACCCCCAGCCTACTGAAACTTTAAAGCCTGAAGCCCTATCGTATAATCAGAATGCAAAGAAATGAGAAAAACGAGTGTTTAGATTCAACCGACACCTCTGTTGGTTCAAGTAGTCAGTCAATGGGACATGCCCGACCGAAAGCTGCTACCTTGACGTGGTGGTCGGGCTTGAACACCGCAATGACCCAACAAGCTATACTGGCTGAGACTTATGTCGCTTGAGATCCTACTATGCCAGAAAGGTTGTTTGGATAGCGGTTAGACTAAAAGCAGTTACCCAATCCAATCCTATGACTTCAAACAAATCACAAAATATAATACCGGATCGGTCGGGGCCCGGATTAACAACGACCACGCTTCCTTCTGTCGTGTCACAGGGCAGAAGTGATAAATACGCTACTGAGACACACCAAATGAAAAACAACAAACAAAAACAGGCCGCGTGTGACCGGCTTGAAGAAGTTGTCCCCTGGGCTCTGCGGTCACGGATCCAACTTCCACGGTGCGGGCAGCCAGGAAGTAACAATCGCCCTCACAATCCGAAATGCACACGAAACCTCTCTAATCCTCACTCATCTTTGTCTTCATCTCTATTATCTTGCCTTCCTTCTACAAATGTAACTCCTCTACTTGATGGCTCTTCACTTCCTCTTCACTCTGTGTGCACTGGAAACGGCGGAAGCCAAAAAACCACCACCGACAGTCTCCTAAAGCCACGCCACCAAGCCAATGGGACATACACATTCAAGTCCTAATCTTCAACTTACCTACCTAAGTAGTTATGATCAGCCCATATACGATAACTGTAGTCTGTAGCTTAGTACAAGAAAGATGTGCTCGCAGGTAATCAACTCCAGGTTATTTGGAACACCACTACCTATCAGTGCAGATATTTTGGCACAACGATACTTTGATGTATATCCAAATTGCATTCACAAGGAAAAGAACCACCACTACTTATCAGAAAGTCAGTCATTATGATTTTTAATTCATCTGAATGTCAAGATAGAGTACAACTTACTTTGCTGTTGATACAAATTCGCCTAAATCTGATCCATATTCTTCAACTTGTTCTAGTGTTTTCGCTTCACCAGTTGATTGAAGACCAATGACTACACACTGATAGATAGATAGAGTAGTAAAGAAAACACAGGGAAGACAACATAGATGTGTATTGATTTAGTAAGAAAACAAATAAGTCTGATAATTTAACTAAGAATAGTTTTATCTAATAATTTAAGAAACAGTGAAACACATGTGCGTCGGTGGCACAGCGGTAAGGACTCTCGCCGACCATGCAAATGGTCTGGGGCTCGATCCCCGGCCGAAGCACTCCTTTACCTCGCTAAGTCAGAAGTAATGCTGGTGAAGAGGAAAGGTTGGGCATGAGGCTAGCAACCCCATCCTGTAAAATAAACACTGCTGCAGAAACTTCAAGCCACTAGCTTGAAGCCGTATGTTCCACTGAGGAACGAGAAGGAGGAAAAAATATCTTCACAGGTTCACTGGATGGAACATTTGTTCTTATCCTCGCATTCATACAGCATCTATCTAGGGGACAATGTGAACGTAATAAGCGTAAATAAAACGCTAAAATGTATGCTTTTCAATAGACAGTAAATTAGACTTAAACAGTTGCAAAGACGCATATGAGAGCTTACACAGTGGGGATAGCCTTTCAATAAATTGTGCTATCTTGAGGCACCGTCTTCAGTGACTATAAATGCCATTCCAATAGCTCTCTCATACTGCTCAATGTTTGCTAGAGCCCAGGGTGACTGAGTGGAAAATACAGAATGGTGGTCAGGCTATGAAATGGTGCTACGGGGACAAAAGATAGACCATCTAGGTGATCTCCCCTGAGATAATCCGAAGCAGTGGCTGGAGCCGTTAGCAAATATCACTGAGATGCGTAAAATCACTGGTGACCACCACCAAGCTACACTGCCCTCTTTTCTTCTTGTGAACGCTCTTCAAATACTATTGATAAGAATCCTTGGTAGCCTTTATGACGGACGTTTAAAACTTTTCTATTTCTTTTTCATATATTATTTTACCGGTTTGTTTGGAGCACCCATTGGTGCGTAAACTTTGCAAAATTTGCGTTTAAATAAATAAACAAATGAATTTAATGTGAAAGCTAAAAACAAGTCCATGTAAAAAGCTCAGAATTCATATTTTGGTAAGTTAAAAATCAGTGAATACTGGACGTTTGTGGTGACAAACACTTTCATTCACCAAGTATTCATAGTGCGAGGTAGGAACCATGTAAGTGATGAAGCAACTAACTGACTAAGCGGTTTCAATATAGAACTTTGCACAGAAGTCCACCAGTTCAACTTGCTACACTCCATGTAGCACAGAAAGGAAGGCAAAAGGTAAAACCAGAGATTCGAAGGAACGGTTATTGAGCAGAGATGTGAGGAAGAAAGACTTGTAAGACGGAGAACAATAGGATTTTTATCTAGTATGATAGGTCACAAACAGTGAATGCATTTACACCATTAAGAACGATTCTGAGCTATATCACCAATTGTCTCCGGTCACTGGTTCCCGTCATCTTGAGGACTCCAAATAGGTAGTCCGCATCTCGCAACGTGGTTGATTTAAACTAACTGTCAAAAATTTCAAGCACTGATGCAATGTTTTCATCTGACCACCATTAGTTTTTTCCAGCCTGACCCTATGCCAATCGGCTAACATTTTCCATCGAGGAAGGTGATAACTAGGCATACCTAACAAATGTCCTAACCATCTCAATCTCTGTAACTCGACAACCTTGTCGACAGATTTTCCCTTCTTACATAGCACTCGACTGAAGCCTAACCTTAATACTGCTCACCTTAATAAGCCACTTAACACGGAAGATAGAACGCAGACACCTATGATTAAAGACAGCTAGCTAACCAGGCTTTTCATGTCTTTCCCTTTCAGTGACCATGTGTCACAGCCGTACAACAGTATATAACGAACTGCTGAGTAATACACATGCCTTTTGGTCGACAGCCAGCCAGATACCACGTCTACGTCAGAGATGGAGTATGCCAAACGAGCCCTCTGTATCCATACTGAGATTTCGTCGGCGATCAACCCGCTGGCGCTGGCTGATGCGACTCCCCAAATAAGTTAAGTGGTCAATGTGCCCTACCACTTCACTCCCAATCATTAAGCTAGGGATAGATGTACTCCAATCCATCAGCATCATCAGCAACATTTGACAGGAGTGAATCGCATGTCAAACATCCGAAGGTCGCCACTCAAGGTGTTCAAAAAAACTCTGCATCTTCACCTAGGAGGACTATATCATCCGCATATTCTCTGAGAATAAATCAATCGCTGAGCTGCTGAAGTAGGTCAAGTCCACTAGTACATCTATAACGAAATTAATAGAGATTTGTAGTTCGCATGGATGATTTTGACTTGGGTGTGTTCTCTGAGATGGTTACAAGAACACAACCACCAAATGAAAATCATGAAATTAAACAGAAATGAGGACAAAGGGCATCCTTGACAGACGGATATAGCAAGAAGGCAATTGAATAAATGCCAGGAGTATCCCCATTACCTAATTTTAAATAGTTAAGAGAAATGCATCCCTCAAGAAAGCTTGGATACCATAATGTATAACATCGACACAACTTTGGGTCAAAACAAAAAAGGCGATAATTTTATCCAGCTAAAAACATTTATGAAGCAAGCAAAGAAAGAAAGAGAAGTTCTGTTGTACTCACTTTACCCTCTTCAATGGCATTTTTAGCGAATTCAACACATGTGTCCACTTTGGCAGCAATACAAAGATACTTGAAAAATCGTTGATGAGCCGACCAAAATTGTCCCCACATAGTTTTACGATAACGATCACTGAGATTTAGCAAGCGTGATGCTTCAGTGAAGAAACGATATGCATAGACCCACTGAAAAGATTAAATATAAAACAAATTAGAAACAGATTAAATTGATGATAAAGTGGCGAAAGATAAATCATTTAGAGAAAAGCATTTCAATAATAAATATCCACCACTAGTGGGAAATTTTATGTAGTGTACACACTGGCACTAAGAATCAAATCTTATTATGCAAACTTTGCAGATGTGCGTCGGTGGTACAGTGGTTAGGACGCTCGCCGACCATGCACATGGTCCGGGGTTCGATCCCCGGCCGACACACTCCTTGACCTCGCTGAGCCAGAAATAAAAACTGGTAAAGAGGAAAAGTTTGGCATGAGGCTAGCAACCCCATCCTGTAAAAATAAAGTTACAGAAACTCCAAGCATTTAGCTTGAAGCCCTATGTTCCACTGGGAACGTGAAGGAAAAAAACTTTGTAGATACACGAAGATAGCCAATACATTTCCAGTAAATATGAATTGAGTATCATGACATATTATGAAGACTAGACACTGGTGAACATTCAGACATCACGAAAAAAGGTAGTGTAACGCATATAACAAACCATTGTCTTCCAAACGTTGAGTAATATTACCTGACAAAGCATTGGATTTGTAAAGAGGTAGAAGCGGTCAAATCAAAACACAGAATCAATCCATAAATTCCTTAACTGCTGGTTTGAGTCATGTAGGTAGGGTGGTGCGCAGACTGTCCGACTGCAAAATTCGGAATGCTAAGAACCAAAGACTGGAGACGGTTAATCGAAAATCATTCTCAGTGGTGAAGATGCATTCACTCCTCGTTAGCTAGCTATCCTTGTCTGCGTTGTCTGCGTTCTGTCTCCCATTTGAAGTGGCATACTAAAGTGAGCAATAGTAAGGTTAGATGTCGAGTACCAGGTGAGGAGGGGCAGTCAATCGACGACTTTGTGAAGTTACACCGATTGAGATGACTAGGACTTGTATTATGCGTGCATGCCAAGTCATCGCCTTCCTCGATGGAAAATGTTCGCTGACCGGCATAGGATCAGGTTGGAAAAAGCTAGTGGTGGTCAAATCAAAGCATGGCATAAGTGAATGAAATCTTCAACAGTTGGTTTGAACCAGAGGCATAGGGAGGTATCGACTACCTGTTTGGAGTCCTCAGGATGGTAAGAACCAGTAACTGGGGACAATTGGGGATATGGCTCAGAATCGTCCTCTATGGTGCATATGCATTCACTCTCTGTGATCTGTCATATCGCACAAAGCCCAATTGTTCTACATGTTATTATTTTTTGACCCTCACATTTCTGCTCGTTATCGACCCTTCGAATCTCTGGTCTTACCTTTTGTCTTACTTTATGTGCTTCATGGAATGTGGCAAGTTGAATTGGTGCAAATTTGTACAAATTTCTTTATTGAAACCATCCATTCTGAGCTCAAAACTGAATTTAGTTGTGTTGAAATCCAGTTCTAATGCTGCGCGAAAGAAAAATCCTGTTTTGATACACCTATAAACAATAAGCATCTACAATAGATGTGCTCTAGTCACCTCAATTGGTGTAGCTTGCCCCCCTCCCTTACCTAACACCCTACCCATATCATCACTGACTGACTGGTTTCAACATACAACTTTGCACCGGTGTGCAGCAGTTCGACTCTCCAAACTCCATGTAGCGCACAAAGCAAGAGAAGAAAGTAGAAGAAATGCAAAATACAGATAGTAAACAGAGATGAGACAAAAAGAAGAGTAATATCGAAGAACAATATAGTTTTACTGGGTATTATAAGTCACAACGAGAGGATGTATCTGCGCCATTGAGAACGATTCTGAGCCATATCACCAATTGTCTCCAGTTACTGGTTCTTATCATCCTGAGGACCTCAACCAGTCAGGAAGTCTAAACCTTCCTATGTGGCTGGCTTAAATTAACTGTTGTGGATTTCATTGACTGATGAAGCCATGTTTCGGTTTGACCACCACTGGCTCCCTTCCAACCTGACCCTATCCCAGTCAGCTAACATTTCCCGTCGAGGAAGGCGATGGCTAGGCATACGTAACACTTGTCCCTAACCATCTCAGTCGATGTAACCTCACGGCCTTGTTGATTGATTTCCCCTCGACGTCTAACCTCATTATGATGAAATTGAATAGAAATGGGGATAGTGAGCATCCCTGTCAGATATCACTAGTTGTCACCACTTCAGATGACAACTCGCCGTAAGCTCTCACCTGGCTGCGTGAGTTCGAGTAAAGTGTCTTGATTAGTGCAATGTATTTTCTCGGCGCCCCATTCACGGCCAAACATCATCATAGTACGTCTCGGTCGATGGAATCGAATGCTGCATTCAGGTCAAGAAATATGACGATTGTTGGACGCCAGTAAGTATGGCTCTGTCCAAGAATCTATCGAAGGGTGAAGATATGATCAATACACCCTCTTCCTGGTCTAAAGCCCGCTGGATTTCCTAGTATTTGTATCTTCGAGCATCACTTCATCGATGCATGATCATTGAGGCTAGAACTCTAGGTACAACATTAGCTAAGCTAATCCCCCTACGATTATCACAGGAAGACTTGTCTCCCTTCTTGTATACCGGGATAATCAATGGCTTACACCAACACTGACGGGACTTCCTCTGATTTCCAGACGCTGCCTAGCACCTCAGTTAACGCAGATAGTAAACTATCTCCACTGTATTTAAATACCTCTGAAGTCATTCCATAAGGTCCCGCTGCTTTGCCTTGCTTCACATTAGTGACAGCTTTTGTAACCTCAGTTAGGGACGGAGGACCTGCGTCTATCTCCCATTCAGGGAGGTGTTGGATGTCCGACAGGTTAAGTGTGGCTGTGGGCCAATTAAACTGCTCCTCATAGTGTTCTTTCCAGCGCTCCAGACGTCTGTCCTGGGAGCTAATTATGGTGCCATTTTTCTCGGAGATTGTTTCGCTTATCATTTGCCTTTTACCACCTGTTTCCCTGATGAGTTTGAAGAGTTGTCTGGTGTTGCCTATCGCCGATGCCTTTCTCATCTCTTTCGCTTGTGTCGCCCACCACCGTTTACGGCCGTTTCGGATGCTTCTTGTTAGTTTGCATTTGAGTAGCTTTCACTCCTCATCATAATCGGAGCTTGTCGGAATCAGTCTTCTTGCGTCAATCAGTTCGGATGAGGTGGTAGAGATCCAATGGCTCTTCCTAACTTTAGCTTTCAGGTTATGATTATATTATTTTGGTTTGCAACGTGGCCACTACCGTGTCAGGTGGCTCGCCATCACGGTGTCCGAATAGCTTGGTGGCAACTTCTCTGACGGCAACACTGGGTGACGCAAGTTCGAATCTCAGAGGGGATATGAGTTCCTCTTCAAGGTTACAGATACGGCTTCTTGTTGACTGGTGGTGAGTGGCAACTAGCACGAAACCTAGTTGCAAGGCCTCCTGTCAACTGCCTCCAAACATCTAACACGATTATAATATATATATATAGTAAGCAACCAGAGGAGGTCTTTCAAAACAAACCTACTGAAGTCCATCACAAAGATAAATTATTTTATTTTTTTTAAATAATAATGATAGCTGATAGATAGTAAATGTACACAAAGAAGAGGAATATTTGTAAACATGAAGCTAACTGAATTCGAATACGCAATCGTAAAAAAAGAAACAAAAATAAAGAGAATACTTACCAGATCGGTAGACTGATTATATACATGAATAAAACTATCATTTCCCAATTTAACATTTTCAATATGCACTTCTTGAATACCAAAATGTACACCATGAAAACTAAGCTGACGAGCAATATACATTCCACGCAATTTCATATCCATAGCAACTAACTCCATGGCGCCTACACCTCGGCGTTCAAGGGTTTGAATGAATGAATTGAATGTTTTGAACGGTGTACCATCACCCCATAGACCTAAACGTGTCATATAGGCCATATTACGTGGTTCAGTAGCACCTGTTGCACTAGCGTATACAATCCTAGCATTTGGTAATCTGTTCTGTAATTCAAGAACAGTTAAACCAGTTTTTGTTGGTTTTTGTGATCCACTCGGTGTAAGATTCTTAGCTCGATGACATTCATCGAATACAATCTACAAAACAAAATAAGCGCAGTTAGAAAATAAGATCTAATAAAAATTGGGGAAAAGGTGATTTAATATGGACATTTATAACACGACTTCCTTACTTTACACTAGCCCTCATTAAACGACCTGGTAAAGCCAAGGGTGGGTAGACTTCGGTCGTCCACTAGAAATGCTCTCATGTGACCAGGCATCCATAGCCTCTGCCAGGTAAGACCTGTTCACTTGCTTCACGTGCTAAGGGTGTTCCCCACAAAACTGGAAGAGTGAATGCGAACATGCGGCATTAACAACCGGACTAATCTAGAGGGGCTGAAAAACCCTGATTCCAAACCTATGGTGTCTACAGGCGAATGGCGTATGAACCTGTTTTGGTAACTGGACACTAGGGGAACGTAGCTCCTGACAGGGCTCCACCGTCTTGTGAGTCAGACTTCAAGTCAAAGGTTCAGGGAGGCGTGATCCCTTAAGACAATCATCCGATTTGGTCTAAACGTCCGGGCAACATACCAGTCCCCACAAAAACTATGAGATTTTGTGTGGAACATTTCTTGGAGGTCAACAATATACCAAGTTTGTACTTTAAACGGTAGCTAGAAAGCTGCTTGAACCTTGGGTAAAAACGTTTTCGCTATAGAGTGCATACATACGGTGAGGAACAATTTACTCCGAACTAAACTGACACTTTACAACAGTGAATAAACTTACGATGTATCTGATACCGAAAAGTAAACGCGTAGATTTATCTTTTTGAAACAATTTGACAACTACAACATTCATTCATATATCAAGTAAAGTGGGTGACAGATCAAAAAATGGAGATTTATATATCTCAACATGACTGAAGATTTGAACATATCGATGACTTAAATTTAGAAGAGTTTCCAAAGAGGTGACAATAATATAAGCATGATCTCAATTACCACAGTGTGACACTACAAACATGCCGGGAATAGCATCATAACTTCAAAATATCATGCTAAAAAGCGAATCCATATAAGTAGTAATTAGTTAGGCTCAAGTTAATCGAGCTCTGAAAATGGTTTTAATGTCCTCTCCCGCCTCCTCCTCCTCCAACCCCCATGTATTCATCAGTGTACATTCACTACAGTTATATTGACTAAAATCAATACACGTTAGCATGACTAATTAGTAGCTGATATATCAAAGAAGTACTTTGCGAAGAAATCCACTAGTTTAACACTAATGGACTTTTGTAGCCATATTATATATAAAAAGAACACATATTCTTAGAATTTAGAAGGTGAAAAGAGCGAACAACTGACTGAGTTACAACGCAGAGAACTCTATACCGAAGTACACCAGTTCAATTTACCACAATCCATGTAGAATAAAAAGGTAACCAAGAAAAGGAGGATACTCAAAACGGTCAGTCGATCGGTCGGTTTTCGAGATAGAACTTTGCACATATGTGCAGCAGTTCAAGTCGCCACACTCCATGTAGCACACAGAGCAAGAGAAGAAGAAAGGAAAAATGCACATTAGAGACAGTACACAGAGGTGTGAGACAAAGGAATAGTAATAACGAAGAACGATATAGTTTTATTGGAAATCATAAGTCACAAGGAGTGAATGCATCCGCACCTGCCATTGAGAACGATTTTGAGCAATGTCACCAATAGTTTGCAACCATTGGTTTTTACCGTCCCGAGGACCCCAACCAGGAAGTCTATACCTTCCTACGTGGCTTAAGGTAACTGTTTTAGATTTCATTGATTGGTGCCATGTTTTGGTTTAACCGCCGCTAGCTCTTTTCCAGCCTGATCCTATATCAGCTAACATTGCCCATTGTCGAGGAAGGCGATGACTAGGCATACGTAACACATGTCCTAACCATCTCAGTCGATGTAATTTAACAACCACGTCGATTGATCTGCCCTCCTTACCTAGCAATCGACCGACGCCTAACCTCAATATTGCTCACCTTATTATACCACTTCACACAGGAATAGAACGCAGACACATATGATCAAAGACAGCTAATCTCTCCATGTCTTCCACTCTCAATGGCCAGGTCTCACAGCCGTAAAGGAGGATGGAGCAGACTGCTGCGCTGAGCAGTTCACACGCCCTTTGGTCGATAGTCGGATATCACGTCTACTAGGCCAGAGACGGCGTAAACTGGCATATGCGAAACTAGCCCTCTGTATCCGTACTCAGCTGAGATTTCGTCAGAGATCAACCCGTTGGCACTGGTTGATGGTACTACCCAAGTAAGTGAAGCGGTCAACGTGCTCTACCACTTCACTTCCTATTTCTAATCTAGGAGTCGGTGTAGTCCAATCCTGCAGCATCAACTTACATTTTACAGGAGCGAATCGCATGCCAAACATACGAAGATTGTTGCTCAAGGTGTTCAGTAGGGCCAGTCTTTTCATATTTTCCACTTTCACAGCCATAAAAAGGGACATAGCAAACTAATGTACAGTACACACCTCCCAAAAAAAAGCTACGCACTCTAGAAACTCCAGTCAATGACTTCATCAACTTCAATATTATTTATTCACCTGAACACCTCGAAGACTTTTTAAAAAAATCTAATTCTGCCAAGGCAAAAGCTGTTGGTCGATGAATGCGGTGAATGTGGTTGCTTCTCATAAGTCCTTGTCACCTCCTCAGTCTATGCAGCTACACATGACTCTTTACCTTACGCCAAACTCCATAATTACTTGCTACATTGCTCCAATTAACACGAAGACAAGTAAAAATCTTCACATCTACTTTCAAGTACTTCTACCTCCGGCAGTGTAGTAATACACAACAAACTGATGCTCAGCACACACACACACACCAGACACCTGCACGAAAGATAACTCATGCTGGCAAATGTCAAACGGTATTTGTATTCGTTCTGAGATTTCCTCAACAACTCGAGGAAAGGAAAGCAAGAAAACCACAAAAAGCAGAAATGTAAGGCGGAAAACATAAATGCATGAAGAATAGGAGGATTTAACAGAATCTGAAAATGAGACAAGGAGTGAATACGTATAATAATAGGCCACTGTACACGATTCTAAGCAATGTCCATCTGAGGTCCGCAGTGAAGTAGTTTGTATATATCTACACGACTCAAACTAACAGTCCAGCTACTTGAGAGAATAAAAAAAAAATTTTTTCTCAGAAAATTATTTATTTTATATCCTATCTCTGCTTAAAATTCAATGTATAAGTGCAGTCGAATATGTCTAAAACCCATGGCGCACCTATTTTTAAATCAATATATCACCATTTGTATACATAACTGACGGAGTTCCAAATAACCTAATTGGTCCTCTGGTGTAAATTATATTTTTTTTTCGTTTTTGTTTTAAAGGTAGTCCATTTAGTGAATCTTGAAAAACTGTAAAATGCAAGAATGACAGATAGCTAAACAGCCAACTAGCCAACTTACCACACCATCGAACTTTTTCCCACACCAATGAACTAGTTGTTTTAGCCGTGTTTTGTATTTCGCCTTTGCGCTGCCTTGACTTTCACCAATTAACGAAGAGTATGTGGAGAAAATCACGCCTTTCTTAACACGTCCATTAGTTTTACCAGAGATACGTGCATATTTAAACTAAAGTTTAAGAAAAAGTAGGAAAACACCAATAAGTTCTTTAATGATCAATATTCTTGTAACCTGTCCCCCTCCAATAGTTTCTCAGTATACACATACAAGTGATATCACATCGAAAAATGCACCGTTTACTTGTGAACGTCAGATAACACTTAGTATACTTATGTATAACGACAACTAACTGAGAGAATCATGCTGAAACAAAAAGAGCTTTTCGCAGTGTTGATTTGCAGGGATTTGACTGGTTTCAGGACTTCATCATGAACTGACATCGGTTACAGGATCATATCATGAATTGGCAGAATTTGGAATTCATGGGCCACTGACCCTTTTCCCAGTGGCTTAACGGTCTACAAGCTCGCCTTGTAACCAGAAGGTCCTGGGTACAAACTTTGGTGGGTGCGTACTTCTGAAGAGTCCTAAACTATGACGAAACAGCTGTCTAATATTCCCAGGTTTTCCAGTGGTCTTCTAACCGATGTCAGCTCATGAAGAAATCCTAAAAGAGCTTTTAATTTATACAAATGATAATATTGTAATTGTCTCGGTGTGAATGTAGTTCACAGTGTGAACCAACACATTATATTTTAATCCATTTTGGACTTTCCAGATGATTGATTGGACCGAAGTGCTCGGCCTCATGTTGGCATGTTGATTCCTTATGCAGATGCTTCGGCGATGTCTGATTACTTAATTGGATGGTGACTGGTAGTGGATTCCACCACCTAGATGCGCACTTCATCCTATTTGGGACTCGTCAGCCAATTTGATGTACCTGCATTCCACCCAGTGAGTCAGCGATGGTGTTCCTACTGATGCTCGAACCCAGTAAGCATAGTTTCAAACGCCAAAGAGTTAACCACTAAACTACCTGCGCCACGACAGCCACTTCGTGTGCAATTCTGAACTTTCCCCTCGTTGGATCTACACAAGGGAACCGACATGTCACAACCTGAGACGAAGCACTGCGGTCCAATCAATCGAAAGGAAAGCCTAAATTTTTTAATTTTTTTTTACTATTAACATCACCAGCAATACCTCAACTATGTTTTAAATCATCCATAGCCAAAAACCCCCATCTCTCTAAGAATGAATTATTCACTAGGAGTACAGTACATATTACTTAAACGATTGTGAATACATGTTTTATTTTCCCCCTTCAGGCATTTGTGGTGTCTAGTAAGGACTGATATCTCCTACCTTAAACTGGAAATGATGTAAGACATAAGAAGAAAGATGAGAGACAGTTGGAATGATTCCTCTTGAAGCTCTTAACTGTTTCTATACTTCAAATTTCCAGCTCTAATATAAAGTAAAAAAACATATTCTAGTTTTAAAAATACACAAACATATTGATTGACTCAATAATCGTGAATGGATTTCGAATGGTCCAAGTTGAAGAGTTTCTCACCTTGTTTAACGAATGAACTTTGATCTTCCCCAAACCCACGTCACGTAGATCACGTTCAGCGTCAACTTTGAGATCATTGGAAACTGATAGCCAAATGGCTTTTTTACGATGTCGTAAATAATTTTCATACAATATTCCGGCAATGGTGCGACCTTTTCCCACACCTGCCCCGTCGCCTGTAGTGGAGCAAGCAAATGCACCACTTTAAGAAATATTGTTACAATTTTCCTGAACAATATCAAATAATCATACGGCTAAATAAAAGTAACACTGAGGGGGGGAATAGTGTTGTTTATTATATAAACGGTTTCATTGGTTCATGAAGCAGGTCAGACAAAGGTCGCATCTGCCTGTCTGTCTGTCTGTTTTCGACATAGAAATTTGCACCGATGTGCGGCAGTTCAAGTCGCAAGAGAAGAAAGTAGGAGAAATGCATATTAGAGACAGTAAACAGAGGTGTGAGACAAAGGAATAGTAATAACGAAGAACAAAACAGTTTCATTGGAAATCATAAGTCACAAGGAGTGGATGCATCTCTGCCAGCCATTGAGAACGATTTTTAGCCATATCACCAATCGTTTCCAGCCATTGCTTTTTACCGTCTCGAGGACCCCAACCAGGAAGTCTACACCTTCCTACGTGGCCTAGACTAATTGTTGTAGATTTCATTGGTTTGACCGCCGCTAGCTCTTTTCTAGCCTGAGCCTATGTCAGCTAACATTGCCCGTCGAGGAAGGCGATGACTAGGCATACGCGACATATGTCCCAACCATCTCAGTCGATGTAATTTCACAACCTCGTCGGTTGATTTCCCCTCCTTTCCTAGCACTCGACGCCTAACTTCAATAATGCTCACCTTATTATACCACTTCACACGGGAGATAAAACGCAAACACCTATGATCAAAGACAGCTAATCTTTTCATGTCTTCCACTCTCAATGGCCAGGTCTCACAGCCATAAAGGAGGATGAATAAGTTATCTAAGACAATTTATATGTGAAATGAGAGGTTACTAAGCAATAACAACAGCAAAAATCCACATATATGTTTGATTTTTCTGTCAAGTGATAGGAAATTTTAGAGAACTTTTAAAATTTCCAACCCGATCACACAATCATTACACTGGAAAAACCTAGTTAATTGATCTCAGTTTAAACCACTAAGGTTATTCTTCAAATCTGCAGCGGCATACTGAGAGTACACCTTTCTGGCCATTTTGTTTTTATAAGTTCCCCATGGAGCAGCACTAACGATGATGCATAAATTCAAGTAGAAGCAATCTAAGGCACGAAGAATGGAAAAGCTCTCAAAAATAATCAAATCCTTCACCGCTACATCATAAATTAAATCTCATAAGTGCTTATATTCAGAACTCAACGATAAGTAGGCATACAACCATACTGATAGTGATCATAGCAACCTTTCAAAGCTAGAGCTTTGAAGTCTCTGTAGCACTGATGCTGTTTTTACGGGGTACGGTCGCTAGCCTCACGGCCAAGCTTTCCTCTTTACCGGGCTTATAACAGGCTAAGTGAGATAAAGGAGTGAGTCAGACAGGGATCGAACTCCGAACCACTTGCGTGGTTGTCCAGTTTTCTGCCATTGAACCACCAATGTACCAGTGCATAACAACGCCAGGAAGCAGTTTGTGTCAGTTTACAATATCTCCACTTTTCACTTATAAGCAATCACGTAACAAGATAAGAAAGTATATACGTCTTGTAGGAAGTCCTAAGTACGTATATGCCGTTAATCAGAGCTTCCCACTTCACCATAGAGCTTCACAGGAAAATGATATGCTATGGGACCGGCAAACATGGAACTGTGATACAACTTCGTCATTCAATTAATTTTCAGTTCTATGAGAGTAAATAAAGTTTTTGCACTAATCAAAAGATGATTTTTTGTTTTACTTCCATAGGTTTACGAATAGAGTATCCTGAACAAAACCTGTCCAGTTTGGATGAATACAACGAACATCAAAACGTTTGCACTAGCTACTGAGATGGTAAAAATAGTTGACCAGAAGTGCTGTCAACCATTTCCCGTAATCCATCTGCGAAGTGTGAATACCTGAGCTTAGACAAATTTACTTATGGAAATCGATAGCAACTTGAAAAAGGCTACAATATGATTTGGACAATATTTCAATACACTGACATTTGAAACTGCGTCATATTATGTCGCTCATTCTGCGGGGAACGGTATTAAAAATCTAGAAATATTTGATATTTAGCAGTGACCTCGTTAGCATCAATCAATCAAGGTGATTCGACAGACTGGTACACAGTCATTATTATTACAACGGAAATCCACGATAGCCAAATGCAACTCGATATACACTGACTAACTGGGTTTCAATATAGAAGTTAGAATAGAAGTGCATCAGTCCAAGTTGCCACACTTCTTGTAGAACGAAAAGGTGCAGAAAAAAGATATTCAAAAGAACTATAATAGCCAGAAAATATAGAAGGAATAATCACGCGCAGAATAATAAGGATTGAATGGATCCAAATGATTACGAAGAGTGAATGCATCTGTACCACTAAGTAAAAGATTTTAAGCCATATCACTTAATTCCAAGCCATTGGTTCTTAGCGTCTCGGGAACCCCAACCAGACAATGGAAGTCTTCATAGATTGATGTCAGGAGTTTTCGTCTGACCACCACCTTAACTGCAATGTCAGCTAACATTGCTCGTCTAGGAAGGTGGCGGTGGCTCAGAATGCGGAACACATATCATAGTCAGCCACCTCATTTGATGCAATTTCACAACCTCCTCGATTATCTTTTTGCTTCCTTACCTAGCACTTTGTATGCCTAATCTCAATATTGCTCACTGTTATACACCACTTAACATGGGAAGTAGAAGGCAGACAGCGACGATCAGAGAAAGCTAACGTTTTCATATCTTCTGCCTTCAATGGTCATATCAAACAACAGCCATAACTGACTGACTGGCTAACTGGTTTCAACACACAACTTTGCACCGATGTGCAGCAGTTCGAGTCGCCACACTTTACTCAGAACACAAAGCCAGAGAAGAAGAAGAAGAAAGTGAAAAGAAATGCAAAATCGAGACAGCAAACAGAGATATAAGGCAAGAAGAATAGTAATATCGAAGAACAATATAATTTTATTGGGTATTATAAGTCACAACGAGTGGATGCATCTGCACCACTGAGAACGATTTTGAGCCATATCACCAATTGTCTCCAGCCTTTGGTGTTTACCCTCCAGAGGATCACAACCAGACAGAAGTCTACACCTTCCTACGTGCCTGTCTGGATGGCTTAAACTAACTGTTGTGGATCTCATTCACTGATGAAGCCATGTTTTGGTTTGACCATAACTGGCTCTTTTTCAACCTGACCCTACGTCAGCTAACATTGCCCATTGTCGAGGAAGGCGATGGCTAGACACATGTAACACATGTCCTAACCATCTCGATCGGTGTAACATCACAACCCAGTCGATTGACTTCCCCTCCTTACCTTACACTCGACGCCTAACCTCAATATTGCTCACCCTATTATACCAATTCACACGGAAGACTCAATATAGAAAAAGAAGAAAATTTATTGTATACTGACTAATTTATAATCCAGTACAGATAAACACACTAAATCAACAACACAAGAATTGAGAAATACTACGCTTTGTATTTGCAAAAATCAGAAAGATGATGAGAAAAGATACGGAACAATTCCGATTATGGTAAAACAGGATAGTAGAAGGAAAAATGAGCTAAACAAAGGATAGCAAAACCGTAGCCAAGGTGAAGGAATTGATTTACATGCTTGTTTATTCACTTAGACTCAGTTATCCAAAACAGATCTTTCATATATCAGGCTGTGAGCCATACTGCTTGTTGTGTGAGAGCTAATGATGAGTAAATCAGATAGATATGGATTTCAACCCACTGTAAACAACTGTGAACCATCCTAACTGGGATTCCCAATAACACATGCCGGGTAGTCATCTCAGCCGACGATGGTGCGAAAGTTTATGCTCTTATCACATACGAGGATACTGATAGTCACCTGTTAGACGACCATATTTTACCAAAGGAACATGGAATAAGGTGGACTAATGTGTAACGCACACACAGCCAATAATGAACAATCATACATCTTATAGGCGAGAAACGGTGAATACCAAAGTTAATTTTTTTTCATCTGTGACCACATGTCATCAGCCACTTATCACCACCCCCAACAGGGTTTAATGAAACATTTAGGTAAGCTGAGAGATCAATACACTCAAATGCTTACTATTATTCGACAAGTAACCATAGACCAGTCCTGGGGCAACAATTCATAAGTACATTGGAAAACGTAATCTGAACACGATGTTATTTTTGGGTTTATGGTTACACTAGCAGTGGAATCCACGATATGCGTCCATCCCCAGTGAGTGATAGTGTTTCGGCTGAGACTGCAGCATTTCAGTCAAGCATTACCAATCAATAGGAAATGCAAATTAGCCCAAGGACAAATCATATCCCAAACACTCTTAAAATCTTATGCACCAATTTCCGAGGCCAATCCCTAGGGAAGATTAATCACTGTTAAGGTAACCACCACCTAGGGGAACGAAATACTCATACAGGCACATGGATGATGAAATCAAGTAAGAACTAGGGGGATACTGGATGTATACACCTTATGAAACTGTGTTAGTTCTGGAATGTTTCAGAAAAGACATCCTTCAGTAAGGAGAAGGACTTGTCAGGGAACAATTCCTACAGAAAACACAGTGCCATAATACTTCTTGATTGACACAATCGAATTCTGCCTTCAAATTAAAATATCTATTTATCTTGAGAGCATCTTTAGTCAGTCATGTCCGTGCTTGGGAACCAAAATGAAGTGACTATACGGTCAGTATTTTAAGCTTTCTTGGATTTTCTTTCTCCAAGAACCGAGACAATATAGTAAAAACCGGTTAGTTAGAGTTAAGTACCAAAACAGCAGTGAGAATGAAAACAACACAAAACCTGAGTAAACTCTTTTAAAAACTGTTTTTAAATAAGGATGTTTGAAAACAGAAGAAAAAGAGGAATAATGAGAAATATTACCAAAAGGAAATATGTTAAGAAACAACAACAAAAGTGGGACAATAAAATATTCACTGTCAATGGGAACGCGAAGAGTGTCACAATCAACTAACAATAATCACTTTTTTGACAGATAGGTAGATATTAATTTAAAACATTTACAGTGACAACTGGGTAGCCTACAGGAACGTTTATTATTATTTACTATTTAAACGCAGAAAAAATTTGGGACAATATGGCACCAAGAAAGATGCGCCACACAATAATAATAAAACAACATAGATCAAAAGTAAAAAATATAAGTAGGAAACGGATAAAGAACTTCATCTGGAAGGAAAACAGTCATGTTTAACAAGTTCAAACAGTATTCGTCAACTATCATCAGGAAGGGAAGAAAGAAGGAAATTGCAACACGTTCGCCATTGATTACAATTCTTGGCCATATCCGATAACGTTTCGAGCCATAGATTCGAGCTATCTCGCGGATCCCAACCAGGGAGTCGTGACGCACCAACCGATGCTAATCTAGCACAAATATCCTTCATCCCACGTCGCCACGTCATGGACTGACCACCCCTCCGCCTTTTCCATCCCGTCCCAGGGCTAACGAACAGAGACCTGTACGGAAGCCTCTGGGATGACATTCGCAGCACATGTCCAAGCTACCAGAGCCGGTGTTTCTAGATGGCGACACTCAATGAATGGTGATCTCCACTGTGTTCAAACAAGCCACCGAACCTCAGAATTACTCACGCGATGATGCCATCGAACGCAACCAATCCTGTGGAGACAGCGATGATCGAACACGCAAAGTCGCCGCCTCAGCTCGGAGAGACCAGGTTTCACAGGCGTAGAGCAAGACAGCCCGCACCGAAGCATTGTATACCCGACCTTTGACAGCCAGGCTAACGTCGCGACGGCGCCAGAGGTGGCTCAAGTTGATGAATGCCACCCTAGCCTTCATTATACGGTTGGAAATCTCATCTGTCACCCCTCGGCCAGCACTCACACAACTACCCAGATACACAAACGTAAAAGTATGCCTCAGTACTTCCTTCCAATTATTGCTCAAATCAGGATGAAAACTGCAGTTGAACCATATTTTCAATTGGAACTTACCATCTTCTCAAATGAATTGTCTACTCTCTCTATATATAATATTGTATACCCAACACTATAATCACTTAGCACAGCTTCGCCAAAAGCAATTAATGCATGGAAATCACCAACACAGGTGTAGAATGAGACAGGAGAAACTGCTGTAAGAGCACGATACACCACCATATCAATGAGCGACTGGTGATTAAAACAAGTTGAGTGGATTTCCAAAAGCTCGAATTTGCAGACACTTCGACTCAGTTGATTAAAACTCACATGAATGTGGAATAAATTGACCACTGGATGATAGAAGATGCTTGCGAATGTGATGAGATTAATTTTGTTGATAAAAGAGCTTCTTCCAAACCTAAATTACCAAGCAACTAACATGAACCACTGGAACTGAGTAGAAAAAAAAACAGAAAACATATCGCATACATCAAAAGTGAATAACGTACCAATCAGAAAGCCAGCTCGTTGACCATTCGGTAAGATGCACTCATGACGTTGACAGGCATATACCACTGCCTCCAACTGCAATGCTGAAAGACATGCACGGTCGATTACTTCATCTGGCAGACATAGGCGGTAATGTATATCTGGAGGAGAAACGCTGGATAGGGAACTTGATTCAACTACAGGATCTGGATGTTTTCGTCCAAACTTTACTAAAATGGACAAAACAAATTGCTGAACTGCGATGCCATTTATAATGTGATGTGCATTAACTTGGAATACATTGCCGTTTATCTAAACAAACATTATATCGTGACTTACCCCGACTAGACAATGAAAAATGGATGAAATGTAACTGATTGTAGCTCGGAAGTAAGTCATACTACGGATTCTAGGTTTTTTTTTAAACTGTTTAAGGTTTTCTTCAGAATTGACGTTCTCTTCGTCATTACCATTTTGAACAAGAGGTCCTTCCTGGCATTTGCTTCGAAATCAGGTTGACACTCGATTATCTCAGAAGCATGCGATATGTGTCTGTTCGCATGCACACGTTTTATTTCATTCATACTATTATAAGTGTTTTTTTATTCCTTTACGTTCCCAGTGGAACATAGGGCTTCAAACTAGAGCTTTGAGGTTTCGGTAGCAGAGGTATTTATTTTTACAGTATGGAGATGCTAGCCTCATGCCCAACCTTCCTTCTTTACTAGTCTTATTACTGGCTTAGCGAGGTAAGAGGGTGCATCGGTCAGGGATCGATCCCCCGAACCATCTGCGTGGTTGGCGAGCATTCCACCGCTGTGCCACCGACGCACATTTATAAGTTAGGAAACACTAAATTTCACCTCAATTCTAAGAACTACTCACTGACTGGTCGATATGAGTAGTCAAATATTACTCACACTAACCAATAGTGCTTGCTTGCCACAGGACAGTTGTTTCACTTGTTTGAAGTCGAGCTCCTTAGTGGTGCACTCAGTTTAATACAGATGTCTAAGCTCAGTTTGTTCAAATCACTCCAATTCTGGTGAAATACATAATGCATTATAGCAGTTGCATTACCTAAACCTTTTACACAGTGGAAAAGTTAGCCTACATATTAGACAACTTATACACCAGGTTTCAGATATTACAACCCTGAGTCGAAATAACAAACAAAAATGAAGAAACTAAACAGATATAGAGGAGAAGCCCATGAAGTATCAGCGATGAGATGCTTTAAACACCTTGACATCTATCCATCCTGCTGAATATTTCCAGCTTCCATTTTAATAAACGCTGAATCTCCTGACAGTATTTATTATAATAATCAAGAAAGTGATGATATAAGTTGAACTGAAGGGGACACAAAAAGAATTATATATATATAAAGAGGGGAGGACTATTGTATGCAAAACTACCAGACATCAATTCTCCTAATGCTGGTCCTGTAGCATACACAAGCATTAATGTTGCACCACGCCAGCAACACATAAAACAATCAATGAGTGTTGCTTTAGAGGCTTTGGTGCATTTATTGAATAAAATGTTAGCTTACATTTCAATGGAATGTAATCAGCATAGGTTTCCGCTTGAGCTAGATCTTCATCTTCATCCATATCTTCATCACGCTTTAACAAAAAACAGATAGAAACTGATGAATTTTTCGACTGTTTATATATGCGGTAAACAAAAATTCAAAAGCCAACGCCTGGAGAAAAACAGACACCTGCCAAGGATAAAAATATGGGCTATAAGCAGGGAAAAGCATAGGACAGATGATTACAAAGTGGAACAGATATGTCCATTCCTTATAATCTCAGAGGATTCCAAAGCCTCAGGATGGTCGGGGGTCGGTGCCTTGCGCTGTGGGTTGGCCACCCCTCCGCACACCTCTTGAAATGCTCCCATATGACCGGGCGTCTTACATAGCCTCTCCTGAGGAAGTCTTGCCCACTGCCTTCACGTGGCGGAGGTGTTTTCCAACAAAGTGAGAGGGCGAAAGCGGATGACCGGCGCTCTTCACCAGCTTGACTGTCCATTGGATGACAGTCTAGGGGAGATGGCTAAACCCTGATTCCAAACCTCCAACGACTGGCGTATGAAGCTCACTGGGGCTCACCGGCAGACGTATGGACAAAGGGCTTGTTGGATGTCCTGGATGTCTGGCCCCATTCAAAAAGGTGTATGAACCAAACTCCGGTCACCTTCTTCTTCTTCACTTCGGCTATCTCCTACGGGAGGATGAGCCGGCTTCATGAACATCTAAAGAGTTCACGAAGTTTCATGGGAATGTGGTACGAGTGATGTCCCCAGAATCGCTCGGTCACCGGCTGCCAATGGATAGTGGACTCCCTACTCCACTCCTACTGCCTTGTAGGTCACACTTGGTTGTGTAAAGGCTACAGCTGCACTCTCAAACAAAAGGCCGAGCGATTCTGGGGACATCACTCGTACCAAATTCCCATGAAACTTCATGATCTCTCTTACTTCAGTCCTGGTCCAACAACGTCACCTTCGGTGGTTTGGCCATGTTCTGCGCCGACCAGATGACGATCTGGTCAAATCAGTTCTAAATCCCTCGCCATTACCATCTTGGCGATGTCGCAGGTGTGGACAGCTGAAAACATGGCTTGGTACAGTCAAGGCTGATATGGAATGCCTGGGGCTACAAACCGTCTACGGACTCCGTCTGTGGAACAAGAATTGGATAACCCTGTCGCAAAACCTTGCATTAGATCGCCGCGCCTGGGCAGCGATGATTCGAGATGTTCATGAAGCCGGCTCATCCTCCCGTAGGAGATAGTCGAAGTAAAGTAAAAGTAAGTAAGAGGATTCCAGTCTTTAACAATAGATCTGAATATAATTGCTTCTTGTCATTAGCTCACAAATGAACTTCATGTACAAAGTGAATCCAACGAGAACAAAATAACCGACATTAGTAAAATTACTGGTTATGACAGCTGGATATATATTCCATGTTTGTTTACTAATAAGTTGATAAAAAGTCAGAATGCAGCAAGAACTGGTATGGACTCGATGACAAACAACAAAGCCAAAGACTACAATGCACTGTGACATGCTGCAACGTTGCTAGCTAATTGGCAAAACCTCTGTGGTTACAGTTGAGAAGCGTAGGCGTATTTCACTGATAACAAACTGAATGGATCCCTTCCAAAAGAAATCCCAAACTGTCATAGTTTAAAATAATAAGCCACATCAAAATATCACTAGCCCTAGTATCTTTTAGGCAAGATAAGAATGAAAATTGTTTGATTATCTAAGCCTTAATAGGAAATTGATACTTCAAAAATGTCATCAAATCTGATGTTAAAACTCCAGTGGTCAAATATCAAAGCTAATAGACCACATGATTTCTTTTCTAAATATGGTGTTTAGGATACTCCCTTTTTTCTAAAAAAAACTGCGTTAAAACTCACTTATCTTAAACAGATTTCGCTCCTGTAAGGTCATGAGTTACGCTTACTGTGTGAGGGCTGATGGTAATGCCTAGCTACATAGGCAGAATTAGGTAGAAACGGATTCAAACTCTAGACCCAACAGTTGAAGATAGTGGAATGCAACGTGAATGACCGACAAACCTAGAGTGAAACTCGTTATTAACATTACAAACGCTAAGTAGATGATTTCCAGTAAGAATGAATTCTTAAGATGACTTTGAGCGACAAAAGCATCCAGAATCAGGCTGGAATGGCTAGCTACTAGTACTGATACTACATAAATATAATAATACAACACAGTATTTGGGTGCAAACGAAACAACCATGTTTCAAAAATTGTGCCACTTTCACTTTGCAATAGGTGATGTGGACTACTACTACGGTATCTAACCCAAAGTTCAGAAAGTAACACACTTCTATGTACAGTAGAAACAAAACTATAGACAATAACTCCAGATGGAATAATATAAAGAGTAATACTGAGGTTAGGAGTAGTGTTAGGTAAAGAGAAGAAGTCAATCAATGAATTTGTGAAGCTACGTCAACTGACATGACTGGTGTACACGTGCTGCTCATGTTGATCCACCGCCTTCCTAAACGAACAATGTTAGATGACATAAGATTAGCTTGGAAAAAGGATTAGGAGTGGTCAATTCAATATAAGACATTGCGCTAAGAAGTCACTGACCATTCTCGTTTGAGCTATGTGTGGTACACACTACCTGATTGGGACTCTCGAGATGCTAAGATCGACAGTGGCTACTAGTGGAATCCAGAATACATGTTTCATACTACCTGAGACTCATGAGTCGTATATACGTGCATCACACTGAATGAAGTACACGTGATTTTTGTGGCTAAATCCCGTATACCAGTTAACCGATATATATGTCATTCCTCAAAACCAGGAATAAGAATTCACATACAGAAAATATTAAAATGAAGTGAAACCGGTAAAAAATAAGTTATCAACAGCATAAAGCACGGTGAGGAAGTATGAGAGGTGAAGACTTACTTTTATCACTGGGTAAGGTCTGGGCGTTTGCTGGACATGATTAGACAGCCGAAGATTGTGAGGTAATGATGGCCGTGGAATATTTGGAGTTTGGTACCAATTATTCAAACTTGTTGGAACAGTAGATACGCTTGGAAAAGCGGAATTGGTCTGACCAACAACTTCTCCATCCATATGACCTTGGGATGCCACACGTCTCACCTTCGAAATCGGCTGACTGGTTTCGATAAGCGAAGGGGGCCGCTTTCTTATGATGTTCGGTAGGTGTGTAAGCGATGGGGAAGCCACACGACCATTATCACCCGGCTTTCTTAATAGATGGCTAGCCATTTGAGGAGAATGGGCCTGAGCAATAGGTGGACTGCTACCATTAGCCGATGGCATCACCCTGAGGATAGTAGGTCCTCGAGAACTAAGAACTTTTACGTTGGGATTTGCGGTGATCGAAACTGAGGGAGGATTGCTAAAAGTTTCTTGGGGTTTTAGAGAGGCTGGTGCAATGCCTGCATTTATGAGTGCACTGAGTATTATATCATTCTGAGAAGTAGTGGCAACTTCATTTGGCGGTTTAGCTATAGTTGGTGCTGAAATAACCTTTATACCAGCATCCGTGAAAGTCTCATTAAATCCAGGTTTTACATCGTCATTCACGACATTAACTGAAGCATTTAGATTACTGGAAGGTTCTTCGTCTGCGTCAAAATCCTTAGTAGCAAGACCTTTAAGTGCATCCTCGAAAATAGAGGCAGGATCCATTTCACTAAAAAAGAGGACCAATTGTATTCACAAATAACACAAAGCCAGAATGACTCAAAAATCATCCCAAAAACATAATATTTAAATCTGGAGGTAGTTCAATACTAAGTAGTACAGTGCTGTAGTGAATAGGTGCTTCTCCTGGTAACCAAATACCCTCAACTCCCGACCCATTATACGTAACAATTACCTATTCAAAAGCCATAGAAATACGTATAATTGGCTTCCAGACAACAAGTACAGGATTCAAAGCCCACCCTAACTACTTCACTTTGGAAAAAGAGGTAGTATAGTTAGTCCCGACACTATGAGTGGCTCTTAACCCGATACACGGTAACTTTATTCTGGGTATCTGAGATATCACTAAAAACAAAAATAATTGCCTCTGTGGCTTACTGCTACGAGCCTCGCATTTGTAATGGTTGCACGAACTGTTTGAAAGAAACTGTCATTAGAAGCCATATGGTCAGGCCAAATTTCTAACTCTAAACGAATCATTCCTCGACATAAATTCCTGAATGTTTTGGTTCCACCTTGACAAAAACTTGATTGGCACATTGAATGAATACTTAGCTGTCCCAAATTCTAAAACTACACTTCAAGCTAAATGTGGCCGACCTTTTTAAGTGACTTTCTGGTCACCCCTAGCCAATCGCTTCAATATACGTCACCAAAACCATATACTATCTTAGATGGTGAATTAACACCAGCTTTAATAAAAACTGAACTACACATCTAATTTCCGAAATAGGACTAGATAAGCCTTCGTTTCACTTTTAATAATACCATCTGAAGTAGTAATCTAAAGTCCCGTCAACTGGATTTTGTTGACCGTTGTTAAAACCGTTAGAAAAGAGTCAAAACCTTTTATCCTCTAAGTTAACGGAGCAAAAATTCGATCATACGAAGAATAGCATCAATACATGCGAGTTGTGTTTTACACTGAGAACGAAACAATTATGCAACTATTCGAATACACCGAAGCGCTATTAGTCGACAAAACAAACAGCTACTCTGCCAAGCAGTAAAGAACAATAAGAAAAGTGAATGTCGAAGTAAACTAAGTACATGTGAAGTCTGAGAGTACCTGGCTCACTGAACAATCAGTTGATGCTTGTCAACTAATTCTAAAAATTAATTTGGAATCCACATAATAGAAATTGGGTACTGTGGAATTCAGTCTGTTGAGAATTAAAACTCTTAAGAACTCTCCACATGGCCAAAGTATGTCTTACGATTAGAAAGTGTCAAAAGCCTAACCGCAAATCAAAGTCACCCAGAACACTAACTAAGGCTAAGACGAAACAAACGCAATACGGTTTTGCGAATATTCCAAACATGAATCATAACAAGCTACTAAGTGCTTACACTATCACTTTCTCTCATTAAACATAAAACAAGCCTCACAACAACTGAATGGTCAACAACTTAAGAACGACTAGCTGCAGACTCAATATAATTTAGCTTAAGATCTCGATATCACCAATGTTCATAGTGATATACCACTAAGGTGACAATCAGGTGATACTGCTTTCTTAACAATATTCAGATGCACAGAAGACAGTGCTAGCAGCTTCAGGCTCAGCACTGGAATCCCATTAAGCAGCCGCGAATTTTAGTATGATTCACAGGAACATGCCTATGTGAAGTAGTTACAGCTAGTACATCTGTTGCACAGGGAAAAATTAATCCAACGCAGTCACACTAAAATGTAAATTATTACAACCATAATAGGAATTTAATGTTAGGAAGTATTGCAACACTTCATGAAATCTTCCATTATCTTTAGTCTTCAGGAGTAGGACTTTCAATAATTATGGCGAATAAATACTCAAATCTTCGAACAACTGCATGAGCGTGTGCCACTGGCTTATGTTAAACTGCAGTGAAAAGACTTTTATGAAGTCATGACTCAAAACTTGTCATAAATAGTACTATGTCTGTCAAGACTACAAATATATATGATCATTACAATATCGCTTGATTTTAAGTTTGGAAAAGTCTTTATTATTACAGTTTTACTGGCCTTATAAAGCCACTCACACTCGCATCTCACGTAAGCACGGACAAGACCAGACGTGAGCCTAGCCGCCGTCAGCGAGAGACTAAGTCATTTCATGGCTACTGTCAACATAGTACACTTAAACAAAAAACATTGGACAAAAGTATTGTATAAGTAATTTGCTCTTTTTTAACAATAAAAGAGTACCAAAATAGTCAGAGGCGACCGAATAACCTGTGAATTACATAGTCACTATCAAAAACACCTTATATAAGTTTGAAATAATATGATGATTCAATGATAACAACTGGGAGTTAACAAACACATCAAGCTTGTATAATGGTCTCTATATATTGATAAAGGCAGGCAACATATTTATTATGGTGAATTCCAGTCACGTATCTTTTTTTGATTATAACCTGACTCTACACCGTATTTTTGGTACATGTATGGAATTTTCAGCATGGATATCGGTAGCCCAATTTCGCAGGCTAACCATTGATATTGGGTGTGCGTCGTTAGTGGATCAAACCACAGACCACGTGCATGGTCGGCGAGAGTCCTAACCACTGTGCTACTGACGCACAGTGGTAGGTAACACCTAGGCTTTTACTTTGGTTACAAAATGAACAGTATGAACTAGCAGCATTAGAATGAAAACCACAGCAAACACTTGACAGGAGGTAGGCACCAGAAACTTTTAATAGAATTATAGTGCTCATATTCCCGATCAACCGGTTGTCATTCTCAATATCAGTGGAGACCATTAGGACTAAGTGCCTACTACAATTTAACAACCAACATTTCATAGGCATGGAACCGATTTTTGTTGGAAGAAAGGCTTTTCGCAACTATATCGAAATTTCATCATGGGTGTGTCCACTGGATCAAATATGTTGTTTGGACTGACGAAAAATTACGCCCCTTAGCAGAAAATTGGAATCACTATCATGGATCGAAACGTAAATGCACCCGCAAACATTATATTCAAGATTAGTGATGAACGCCTTCCCTAAGTTCGTTCAGAAAAAAGCTAAAATGGTTCTCATCCCATAATAAAGCGAGAATTCGAGTTGAATGCATTTGGTCGGCGCTATGTCAAATTAGTGAGGAAGGTACCTGGCTTGATTCTTTACAGTGCCAATTAAACACATCTGGTGACTTCAACGTACTACAGACAGACGGCACAGAACTTCATTCGACTTCGTCCAATCAACTTATATATGAAAATCAAGTCGCTATAACTAAATAACCTCTGAAAAACCTCTGAACTTACCCCTAAATGGCTTTTTCTTTAAGTTTAGGTTTCTTTAGATGTCACGATAAAACTGATTTCAAGACTCAATTTCTTAAATAAGCACTTCCATCTTCTTCATATGCACTGTTATCGCACTTCTGTTTTTCTTAGGTGTTTGTTATATATATTTATATATCTGTTTCATACAATTTACTTCTCTCCTTTGGAAGCTTTTGGTAAATCCATAAACTAATATTTGACTTTTGCACATAGTGTTACATATGTTGTTGCATGTGTTGTAGCTTTCTCAGTCTTCTAGGCATTCTAGCTCTTCTCTGTCGTAACAATCTACTTTGGTTACCATGGGATTAAGAAGCCGTCTACTCACAGAAAGTTGCGGTCTCATTTATTTCTTGACATCGGTAAGAAACAACACTGGGACTATTTATTAGACCTATCCTGAATTGCTGCGGCATGGCTAGTGTGCCGTGTGAATGTAAAAGACTTCGTAAAAAGTTGACCCAGGCTAATTATCCCATCATTTTTAAGTTAAGTAAGTCTCTTGATGCCAGTAAGTTTACTAAATTTCAGGATCACTTAAGACTGAATAGCAGTTAATAATTTCCAAGAACACATGGCAAATTTTCCAGGTGTCCCGAATCACTGGTACGACCCATGGCACCAAGGACCACGTCATCGCACTCTAACCTCGATATGTGGACACCCAGTCCAACCTTCTTATCACTCATAAACTCTTCCGGTGCTGATGCACAAATAGAATTAGGTTATGGTAATATTTTAAGCCTGTTTGTTGTATCCCGTGACTTATTCACGATATTACTAATAAATGCATGTTCTCTAGTCAATAAGACATCTGAACTAAGGACATTTTTATTAATCGCCAAGCCTACTGTTACTCTGATGACCGAATCATGGTGATCATCCTCATTACTTGATGTGCATATAGGTGGAGGATATCTCATATATATACATAACTCATTTGTAGTCAGTAAGGTGGAAGATGAAATACTGAATGAGGTGCCTGATTCACTCTGTATCGTCTTACATGGAGATAGGTACAAACTTCTCATATGCTGTGTTTGTCGGGCACCATGCTCAACCAAAGAAACTGATGCGTTGTTAGCTAAATCACCTGCACACGCCTCCTCGTTTAGGAATTGCAGGAGACTTCAGTGTTACAGACGTCAACTGATTAAGTAGTTCCGGCCCCCAACGCTTCGACGAACTACTTGCTACTATCGATTGTTTCGGATGGCAACAACACGTCCAGACACCTACCCGTGATGACATGTTGGACCTTGTGTTTTGTCACGACACAGTCACAGTCCCACCAATGTTGGTAACAGGTTTTCCAGTAGTGGCCATAGAATGGTACTCTGCTCTCTGTCTTTCTCACCACTAAATACAGGGAACAAACAAGATTCAGGGAGCATGATATGCCGTAGTTACAAACATACCGACGGGGGATTAGTCCCAGAACTCATTCGGCTCTGTCAATGGGATGACTATTTTACCACTGACTCCCTGAAGACTGTAGTGTCCCTATATTACAGTAATATCATCGTTTGTCTAGATACTGTTGCGCCTAAGAAGGTGGTCAAATTATGTAGACACTGAGCTGAATACATTCCAAGGGTATGCCGCAATAATTTAAGGAAGTTGATGAAACAACACTATTCCACTAAGAATATATCACTACTGAACTCAGTCCACGAGTCACTTGAATATACTAAGCGCCTACGCTCTCAAAAGGACCTCGATGAAGAGGTGAGTGCATTTAAAAGTACTTCCAAAGTTTATAACCTAACAACGCTTCTTAAAAAACGAATGCAGTCGATGAGGGACATCCCCTTCTTACTTCACGACACAGTAATCTACAATGAGCCTGCCACCATCTGTGAAGTATTCAGTGAGTGGTTTGCGAACTTTGGTTAAGAAACAACCCCCTGGTGAAACCGCTCCCCTTACTAGCTCTTCCCTCGGGAACATAGTGCTCACTAATCAATTAATAGAACAAGGAGTTAAGAGCCTTAGACCTTCTACTATCACGGGACCCAATGGCCTTGCTTCAATAATTTTTAAAAACAGTGGGTGTGATTTTCCCCTATTACTTCTTAAATTCTTCTCAACATCTGTGAACACTGGCACTTACCCTAATGAATGGAAAACTAGCTTCATAATTCCACACTACAAGTCCGGTGATAAGACAAACGTTCGCAATTACAGACCCATAAATATAACCCCAGTTACCTCGCGAATCATGGAGAAAGTTGTTAAAGATCAATTGTCTGACTGTTTACTTAGGGAAGATCTTGTTACAAGGTCTCAACACGGATTTCTCAAAAACAGGTTCTGCGTTACTTGCCATTTCGACTTTTTTGACTGCATCACTAGTAGTCACGAAGCACGGAAGCCAGTTGTTGTTCTCTACTTCGATATACCTAGGGCATTTGACATGGTATCTCACAGTATTCTCTTTGAGAGGCTGTACTCATGTGGAATTCGCAATCCATTACTGAACTGGTTAAAATCGTTTCTAAGCAACAGAGTACAAATAACCAAGGCCGGATCTGTATTGTCTCATTCTAGGCAGATCTCAAGTGGACTTGTGCAAGGTAGTGTCCTAGGGCCACTTTTGTTTACAGCAAACATTAACAGCATTTGCAACTGCTTCACCTCAGGTAAGCCACTCCTATATGCTGACGACTTCAAAGTCGTTAACTCCTGCTACACTCATGAATTAAGCGATATGGTAAATAAGATACATCTTGAGCTAAGTAGTCTGGCAACATGGTGTGCCGAATCCTGTCTAAAGTTTAACATTGACAAATGCGGCTGGATTTGTATCGGAAACAGTAACCTTGACCTGAATCTTGAAATAAATGGGCGTAAACTAGCCAAGCTCAACTCAGTTGTAGATCTCGGTTTCAGATACTCTAGTAACTTAACATTCTCTGAACAAACTGATCATGCCAGACGTAAAACACGAAGGCTCCTAGGATGCATAACTCGCAATTTCTTTTGTTGTGAAACTAGGGTTTTATTATACAAAGTATGTCTCCGACCTATTTTAGAGTTTATTTTTATCGGACTGCGACAGAATGACAAGCTTAAATTAGAGGCAGTGCAACGGCAATTTACCTCAAGAACTCTTGGTTTAGAAAGTGGTCTCGAATAATAATAATAATAATAATAATAATAATAATAATAATAATAATAGTATATTCTCATTTTTTTACATGAGGGACGCCAGTTTACAGGCATCATCAATTCGATAAATTACACATACGATTAGTAAGTATAGTTAGTAATGATAATATAATAGGGTACATATTTATTCATACAAATATAGGACACACAAGTTGTATAGGAATGGATAAGAATTATTTAAGTTACATATTTAAATTACATGGATTACGGTTAAATAACATGGTTGTTGTCATTTTATCTTTAGTTTGTGGGGAAAATCGGATAACTGGTGATTCAATGGAACACACCAAGAAATATAGAGATATTGACTTCGCATTAACAAAAAAAAACCCAAGTATGCGTTGGATGGATTACATATACTTGGGAAAATAAATAAAGCTTGAAGTCAATTCCCTCATAAAACAATAAAATGCGTCTAACAATAATATATTCCCACTTTATGCACTTGAGGGCCTCCAGTTGACAGGCAACATCAGTATCAAAATAATGCACACATGGAGTAAACATGTTTAAAATTTTTCACTAACACAAAATATATATACAAGTGAAGATGATGGAATATTGACCGTAAGTACAGTCTGCATAAGTTAAAACAGTTTATATGGCATAATCCTAGGCACCTTTATTGTTTGAATTTGTTGAAAATGAGCGAAACGACTGAGT